TATTATATATTAAATATATTATATTATATATATATAATGAAAGTAGGCCATGGCCTGTGCACATGGATGTGATTTTAGTTTCTTCATGAGTGAATAAACCAAAATATTACTCTCAAAAAATAATAGCCTAACCCTTGCAGTTTAAGTTGGTTTTTTACTTTTGTATCACAGAAATTCTTCAATGTATTTAATGAGTCCAAAACACACGAAATATGTCACCACATACTTGCTCATTTCTCTCTTTTCATGCTGGTTCTTCTCTCGGAATGAGATTTCTGGCAGCCGGGGGGTAAACGACAGCTCTTTTTGTGGAGATCTTGTAATGGGCGAATTACACGAATGGCAATATCTGAGGGTGACAGGGATTATTGCTCTTCACACCTGAGTGAAAAAAAAGCATACATTATGACGTATTAGCCTGTTATTCCTAGAATGTCAACGTTAGCTACGATATACTAGCATTTTCTAGGAACAGATCAAGGGATGTTCGAGTAATGGGAGTAGACAGGCCTAAAATTGCGGCGAGCCGATTCGGTTTTTGTCTAGGCTTTATAAGCGAACTGCACTCCCGTGCACGTTATTGCCGTAACAATTATAGTCCCTCATTCTCACGCTAATTCTAGAGTTAGTAATTATTTCATATGTGGGAATCTGGACTATAGTGTAATAGTATACATATCACAAGCGCTATAAACGTGCCTTGCGAATGGTTCAATTCAGCAAGGCCTCAAGTCATGGGAGATGTATGGTACATCACTACCTATGGTTCAACGCGGTTGACTGGACATTTTTCATCACTACGAGTATTGGAGTTGGTGTTTACAGCGAGTAACGCGTCTGTGATGGTAGTGCGTGTTGTTGAGAGAAAGATGCCTCCATTTGAGTCTTGACCATTTTCTTTATGTTTTCTGGTGGAAGTCACTGCTAGTGAAGCGCGAGAACTGTTGCTTTTGCTTCACTGCCCGATAGTCAGCTGCATCTGAAATTCACTGTGTCGGCCGCCGATTGTGACGATTGTAGATGTATATAGGAGACCTGGATGCTGGCTCGTTGAGGGTGGGTGGTTTACGTTCTCCAGGCTCTGTGCTCGATCGGTGGCTACCGACTCCAATATTTCTCTCATCCCCCTAGGTCCCCCTCCCCGCTCGTTGAGTCGAACTTTACCTCTCCCCACCGCACTCGGATCGCTACATGTAGGGTCTATTTCTTTTCACATAATACACCCTGTGTTGAGGGGTTAGGGGAGAACGACAACAACTAGTGGAAACTGTATGGATCTACACACCTTTGCCATCTATGGTGCTGCTGTCGAAATGCCCTCTACTGCAATGCACCTCCATACTCTGCAGTAACATAAACAGTGCCCCGAAAAAGCCTGTCTGCCCAATAGTAATACATGCACTGCTAGTGGGTGCCTTAGTCCGCCTTTTATCAGCAAGCACAGACAGGCGCCGTAGGTCTCCGCGGGCACGCTGGGGAGCGTGCTCCAGATCTGTCGCCACATACCAGCTCATGTAAGCGGGCATAATGTGAGTGGTAGACTGCTGCGCATAGTTAATATACGAAAGGAGAGCATTGCCTTGAGAACAGATGCTATTGCTGGAAGGAGAAAGTCACCATTGCCGCCTCTCGCACGCCTAGGAACATGAGCATAGCCAGCCATTGTACTGGGCTTGATGAGACAGTCCACCATAGCCTCGCCGGGTTCGTTTGTTTCTCTGGCTGTCTCCAGGTAGTGCAGCTCAGCTCTTGGGTATGTGCTTGGCACCATATGAGTAGAAACTCATAGCAGCACGGCCGATGATGAGACGGTATTGCCCGTTAGAGCGCTTTGGTCCAGGCCTTCCCGGTGTGATCATGCTGGTTCATGCACCAAATCGCTTGCGCTCATGAGAACGTCCCTACGCCAGATGCCTTCATCAGGTCCCATTACAGCCAGGAACTCATGAGAGTGCGACTGCATCATGTCCGGTAGGAGTTGAAGGTATAAGGTTGGTCCCAGCGGCTGAGCGCGTTTTCTATTCGGGGACGCTAGGCATGCGAGTCTGATATAGTTGGAGTTCAACAGAGAGCGAGTGGGATGTTACTGCATCCCGAAAGTTTTGAAGAGTCCTCTCGAGTACAGTGAGCGTGTGGTCAGAACGGTTGTCTGGGGGTGAGCAGGTGGTAAATCGCCGTCATCGGTCCAAAACACCACCAGGATGTCTTGGGCTTATGGGTCAGAGCCCGCCACTTAGTCGGTGCTGGCGCACTGCACATTGAAAGCCCGCCCACTCGACAAGGCTTGTCATCTTCTCATGGACTTGCGACAGCCAGGCTGCCGTCTCGCTGCTGAGCTGAAAGCTCACGCTTGCAGCGGATTGATAGCTTGTGACTCTTCTGCGGACAAGAGCTTTCGTTTGGAATCAGAGGTGGATTTCAGCTTGGAGAGCTCCTGTGGTGAGTGCGTGCAGCTGGACTTGCGACAGCCAGGGCATCAGGGCGTCTCGCTGCTGCTGAACTCACTGCAGCCGGATTGAAGCTTTGTACTCTTTCTGCTGACAGAGCTTTCGGTGTTTGTGAATCAGAGTACTGGGTGGGATTCACTTGGGAAGGTCCTGTGGTGTTGGCTGGCAGCTGTATAGCCTGATGGCTGAGTCGCTGAGAGAATGGCCTCGTGTTGTTGACCGACTGACCTTTCATTTTTGACATTCTGACCTTGACCCCATATCAAAAATAACTCCAGAATGGCACGTCCCTGCCTGCGAACAACCCTAAAAAGAGGATTTGCATGACAGCTGGTAGTCCATCGAGATTCAGCAGAATTGTAAATTGACACAAAATCCAAGCTTATGAAGGCGGACGGCCATCTTGAATTCCAGAAATGGCCTCAGAACGATGGTAGCAACCCAGAGTCAATTCAGCTCTCCTAACATATAAGAACACATTTCCAATGAAAAAAGTTTTTTAGAAGTAATTACATTGGAGGGGCAACAATTTTGGCATCTGGACTAAAAGCCCACATTATTATGCAGGGATAAGACATGGCACAGTTATGTTACACAGCGACATTATTACTCACGATAGAACACAGGCGATAAAACACAGCGACATTACATCATATAATCATCCATGCATGTTCACACACGCATACACGCTGCGGAAGACAGACGGACAGATGGATGTATGCATGATTGCAAGCACATATACACAGATGGATGGATGGACGCACACAGACGTACAACATGTCCATACACAGGACCCAATGTATACACACGCACGCACGGCAGCACAGGCCACGCCGACTGCATACACCACATGTCCACTGACGTGCACGCCCACAACGACGCACACACAACAGGCACACACGCACACAGGCATTCGCGCACAGGCAACGTCACGCACGCACGACACACATGCCACAGGGCACACAACAACATGCACACCGAGAGACACACACTGCACGCACAACACGCCACATAATAATGTTACATCTAATGCCACATTGATTATGACCTTGGGTTGTTCAGAGAACGGTACTTAATAGGTACCTCTACTTCAATAACAGTATCCTTAAAAACTAATTCTCCTCAATAAGCTTATATATAAATTGATAATATGATCTAGTTCTCTAGCATGCAAACTAATACCTAGCATGTAAGAAAACATGACTACAACGACTGCAATGAAAGCCTAAATACAATATTATTTAGCGAGTTAGGAGTTTACATGCCGTTACTTCTAAATTTAAGACCTCACTACATGTGCACTAAGCACACATTCATCTATTGCGGTAAAGAGACCTAAGTGCAAACCTGAAGTTTCCACTGACAGCAAAATGAGGTCTCTGTCAACAACTTGATCTTGTTCCTATCGAGCACGAGCTCCTTCAGTTCTCGTAGTTGTTCCAAACCCTTAACCACCGTTATCTCGTTTCCTGCAGTTTTATTAAGCATTAGCATTTCATCAAGCATTAGTATTTCAAATTATTTCAAAGGCTTCTATCACAATATTTAATGTGATACAGCAGTCAGCATTGCTTGGCATTTCCTATAGAATTTTTCACTAACTTTCATTGTAATTTAAAATATAGGCGCGGGCAATAACAGCAATTTGAATACACTGCCATTAAAACTTAATAAGAGGTGTCTAGTCAATGAAAGCATGCATGCACAATCATTGACCAAAATTATAAATTAAAATAATAATACTACTACAAACGACGCACACCTTGTAAGAAGAGGGTCGTGAGGTTTGGCACGCAGCCAAGTTTCAGAGCGACCATGTCTGTGATGCCATTGCTAGCAATGTGTAGAACCTCTATTGATGGCATCACTGTCTCTGTGGAGACTCCATCATCACTGTTTGCACTGCCTGGTCTACTCGTCTGTTCCTGAATATTCTCGATTTTATTGTTGTTCACACAAAGCACCTGTGGATCAATTTATATATAAATAAATAAATCTACTCTACTCTACTGCTGCTGCTCCTGCTGCTGCTGCTACTTATACTGTTGCTGCTGCTGTTGTTACCATGGCATGCAGCTACTACTCTTCAACTGCTCCTATTGGTATGGCTGACATTGCTACTGGTGTTGGTTTCACTGCCACTGGCAGTTGTTGCTGATGGTCATACAGTTGGTTTAGTGAACGCACTGTTACTGCTGAGTAACTTAGTAAAACCTACAGGCTCATGCTCTGTGTAATACGGTCTACAATTTTTGCTCACATGCTGCGAGTAATGAACATGAATGCAGATTCAAAACATCTGGAGTACAGGATGTAATTTCGTGACATAAATGCTCTTATGCAGTAGCCTACAAAATTTCTGCAAAATTTAATCATTAGTTCTTACAAACTACAGTGTTAACTCACTGGCAATAGGATATGTGTGCGCTTGTGTGGGAGCGGGTGGATAGAAGATTACCTTCAAATTCACTAAACACTCAATTCCTGCAAGTGTTGTCAGGTTGTTGTTCTCCATGTTCAGACTGCAAGTGATAATTGATTTTATAATAATAAGATTGTAAATAATAAGTTATATAACTTGTAGATAATAACTTTGATAAAAAAATTCATTTATGTCAGTACTGGTGGATTTTGTGTTCCTTACTGCTCACCATTGAGAATTGCTATTATTTTAATTTATCAATAAAAGTTGATAAAGTACATTAAATTTAAAATAGATTGTAAGAAAGCATATGTGAAAACTAGACAGGTCTGTACTTGCTGCAATAACTTCCTTTGAATTTGCTACTGCTCCACACAATAAATCATTATAAACCAATTCCCAAAGCAATAAACCAATTCCCATACACAGCTTATAAGATATATAGCACAACTCACAACAACCCTTACCAACATTTATATCAGACAATAAGCTACGAATTACGTAAATACCTTCTTAGATTTGTTAGCTGACCAGCCATGCTCGAGTCCATGTGTCGAATGCCTAGATTGACGAGATCAAGTTGGAGGACATCATCAAAGTGTCTGTGCCCTAACTGTTCTGCCAGCATGTCCAATGATAACCATCCACCAAAGGCGTGGCAAGCAGCTTCTATCTCTTGTTCACTCTACGTGGCCATCGGAGAAGGAAACAGTTGTTACCACGAGGATGGGTGCAAAAAGATTATTAGTGCATTTTCCCAAGGCTAAACACATGCACAGCACTAATACTGTGGCTATGGAAAAATGACACCAGATCACATGTAAATCGATCCTAACTAACTATCTGTAGATTTAATATCTTTATATGCCAGTTGGTAAACTGTATAACATTTCACTAACACCCATTCACTACTGTTACACTTTTCTTTTATGCTAATTAAACATAATCAAATAAATTTTGCTCATATTTACCACGCGCTCCCCATCCAACATTTTAAGACTTTGGACAAAGTATGCCACGTGAAGACGGTAGTTCTTATCTACTGAGACAGGATTTTCAGATAGGTCCAGCACCCACAGAAAGGTCATACTCTGAAAGAATGTAAATGGAGGATATCAACCTGGCACAACATGGGTACATTTTGAAACACGAAAGCTCACACTGCTTAATTTGCAAACGTTTTGCTGAAAGAAACCTGTCTTTGACTGCAAGATGTGAGGCATAGGAGAATAAAGCCAGTCTGTGATCTTCACTCCTACCCCTATCCCCACATCGATTACGATCGTTTTCATGGATTTCACATGAAACCTCGCATATGATCGCTGTTCTGATTACTTTAACACTGAACTTCCAAGGATTTAAATAACTAATATAGAGAGATTTTATACACCAACACTGCATGCAGTTCAGAAACATTCCATCACCCCCAATATTACCACCCCCCCCCCCCTTCAGATTTCATCGCTGCGAGTCAGTAGTGCGGCGCGTACCTTCAGCGACGGTATCTCGGAGATGTTCGCCACCAGGTTGTTGCTGAAGTAGAGCTCGACGAGGGTCGTGACCTTCTCGAGGCCGGCCAAGGACGCGATGCGGTTGTCCTCGAGTGACAGGTAGGTGAGGCAGCGAAGGCAGCCGAGCACCGTCGCGTCGACGCTCGCGATCTCGTTGTGCGCGAGGTGCAGCGACTGCAGCTTCTGCAGCGTCGAGAGCCCCTCGACGCGCGTGATGCAGTTGTGCTCCATCGCCAGCTCCTCCAGGTGGCAGCACTCCTCCAGGCCCTGTGCGACAGACGCGTGCGCCCGCGACGACGACACACGCGGGTTAGAACGTTAACTTGCGCGGGGGAAGGGTAGGAGGGGAGCGGAATATCTGTTTTTTCTGATCACTGATATCTTTATATGTATGGATGGTAATTGATTTTGGTACTAATCTCACTTTCAGATGACCACTTGCTCTGTAGCATTAAAGCACGCAGGGGGAGGGGAAGGGGGGAAGGGAGCAGAATATGTTTTTCTGATCATTGATATCTTTATATGTGGTCGGTAAATGATTTTGGTACTAATACCAGTTTCGGATGACCACTTGCTCTGTAGTAACACAACAATTCAGAGTACAAGTGGGGAACAATTGAGGGGAAAAATCCCCCTTTTTCGTACTCGACTATGGCAGCAGATATTAAATTTGACATAATCTATATAAATAGATGTTATGTTAATTATTATCTTGATTATACTTTATTATTGCAGAATCACACTTACCTCGATTTTAGTTATTTGATTATTGTTGAATGATGCATATTTCAGATTTACAAGTTTTCCCATGTCTGACAGTTTGCCCAACTTTTGGCCATCAAAACACAACGATGTAATCTAGAATTAATATAAGCATATAGCATTGATTCTGAAAACAAATCATTGTACCAAGCAAAATAATATTCCAGTATAATTACTAAATAATTTTACTTGCTATTACATGACTGTTATATATAGTTGGCATAGATCTTGTTCAAGAGCTTAGAAATGAATAAAACAAAACAAAACAGACAGACAGACAGAGAGAGGAAGAGTGAAAGTAATATATGCATTGTAAATCTGCCACTGTCAACACTTCCTCAACATAAAACCATCCATTCAGATCCTTACCTGGGAAAGCTGGAATGCCCAGACGCATTTAGTTCCGCCAGATCCATGTAAGCCCAAATAAGGGAACTTTTCGATTTACATTGCCTTTCCAATTAACCCTGATTTGTTGGCATTTGTTACACTTTTTATCAATACATCGACTTGTGCTCACCATTGCCCAGGGCTGGCCATTTGAAAAGTCCTGTAACCCACATGCTGCCAAGACGTATACATACATATATACGTTCGTAAGACTGGCTGCATCCTTCAAGCCATACAGCTATTCTAAACTGAATTAGGCAAGCAATAGATTACATACTGTATATGCACCTGTACACACGCATGCAAAAGCGCATGCACGCATGGGTACAAGCGGTACGGTTGACTTAGTAAATAACACACATAAACCGAGCTACACACAAATTACTAAGCTCATTACAATGCCAACAGGTAGGGAAAATGAGAAAGTATCCATAATTTCAAAGATGACGGATTTACGAATATTGACATTTTCATTAATCAAGGTTTAATTAAGGATAGACACAAAAAACAGTGCAATTATTCATAGAATGTTTTGTGAATTTTTTTTAGGAAAGAGGGAAAATTCAGAAAAGCTGGGACAAGATGGTTTGCTACAAAGGGCATAATTGAAAAAAACAGAAATAAATGAAAATGGCAAATTCAATAAATTAACATTAAAAGTTAGATGTGATAATATGATGATGATATATCAATATCATCAGAAGCAGATCAAGACAAAATTTACCACTTAAAAACCATGAAACTGAAAAAATCTTACAGCCATCTCCACAATTCACGTTCTTTGCATCAACTTCAAAAAACTTCCTAAAATCATAATGTTTTATTTATTCTGACAAAGTATAGTTATTCAACTGACAAATTGTTACAGAGACATTTAGCAGCTACAGTCACTCACAGTGTCAATTGTTGATTAACATTTCATGAATTCAAGCTCAGGGCGAATTGGCCGAATATAATTTTGACAACTTGTTAAGGTACATTGTTAAGAAAAATAAAATTAGAAATACAAACATGTGAAGAACATAAATCATGATAGTAAAATTTAGCAAAATAGTTAAAAAAAATAACAGGTTCTTTCATGTTTTCCGCGTAATTTCTTCCTTGATTTGGTTCTGATATGTATATGTATAGATAGCTTAGCTTACACTACTTACCGTGTATGGCTGAGCAATATAGTAGGTTTGTGGCTTCGCTTATATATAAACACACACACACACACGCATGCATGCACGCACACGCACACACACAAAACAACAAACATACTATATTTCTTAACCATAAGGGGTAATAGGTGCGCCAATGTGAGTGTTCAGTTAACGCAAATAACATTACATTCGAAGTGAAATGGAAAACTACCAACATGTAGCAATATAATAGCAAGTAATTTAAATAACTGCATTTTTTGCAGTTGCATAAAGTTGACAAAAAATAGGATGCACAAGCTGGTACTGTCGAACATAAAAGCCGCAACAGGTTAATTGTAAGCTGAAGCTGTGTGGTGCGCTGCTACTTGATTTTGGATTAATCATATATACACCATCAATTACCAGGATGTAGATAGGGCCTACTGTAGAGCCCTATATGTATCAGTACACTCGGATCTCATATAACGAGTGATGATGGCACAAAGCACTTATAGACATTTATGCCACATGCATTAATAAATTCGACGTGCTAGTATATAACAAACCTGTAGCAAATTTTAAAGACACACACATGCACACGCACGCACTCACACTTGCACACACCCGCACACATGCGCACACACAATCACGCACGCGCACACACACTCACACACGCGCATACACTTGCACACACACATACAGTTAGACCTTGTATAACGATGTATTTGTAATACAATAATTCGTATAATGATGGCCCTGGCCATGAAGATGTGTGACTGGCCACTATACAATTCATAGGACAGCCACATTTTATGTTTTAGCTTCACTGGCCTTTACTGGGTTTTCCCTCTGCTTAGTTCAAGCAATGATATTATGAACCATGGCAAAAAATTGAGAATCACACTGAGTCATCATTGCTCTGGTGGTCGTGGAACAAATTCAACATTTAACATGTAATTCTGATTCTTTTCTAATAACAAATTCACATTATGATGGCTTCATAAAATTATATATATATATATATATATACACACACATATTTACCTTGCTAACATTGTCTGCTTTTGCTCTGATCTTGCAGATAGAGAACAACAGCTGGGCATTATTGTTCAGCGAGAGCCAGGGAGGGATTGTCAGTTCTGTCCTCGCACCAGGGCACCACCCACTCTGGAGCAGAGACTGTGTAACGCGGCGGTGATCTATGAACTGAAATGCCTCCTTCACTTCGTCTTCTGTAACTGGCTCGCCATTCAATTCAGTGAGGCCCTTTAGACGTCCAATTATCCTCAAACGGACGTCTCCAGCCAACCGCTTGGTACAAAAGTATGTATATGCAATTATAGTTAATACAATGAACATATCAGGAGTAGATAATAGAGATCTATTATCTACTCCTGAACATATGTATAGAACGCATGTATAGCTATATACATATACGTTCAAATGATTACTTATAAAGTGGCCTTATTATCAGGGAGTAAATGTAGTTGTACTTGACATGACCTTGTGCTGTTTTAATGGATTTTATGCTTATATGCGCAGGTGTATATATATATATATATATATAGTGCTTGCCCAAATCCATATTTACTTGTGCATTTTATGCATCACACAGGCAACTTTATGCGTTGCCATAATAGCACCGATATTGTGCAATAATTTTGTTGGTTTTATCTATGTTTAGGACACTGAGCATGGCAGCTTTTCCCTCAGGTCAAGATGAGATAAGAGCCTGCTCAGGGCCCCATACACACTCTTCCTCTGAGGCATTTTTAGGGAAAATCTTCATTAAAGTTAAACGTCTCTGTGTCAGAATGGTCGAGATTTGTTCAGCAGATGGAACAGCTGAATGTCTGTTGTTCCTGCTTGGTCTGTGACAGCAGAATCTAAGCTGAGAGTTAGTCTAAGGTGATCGATGCTGATGGTGTCTGATCTGAGACAACCGAAGACTTAAGGCACACATTAGTGGTACCACGACCACATGTATACCCTGAGCATAGAAGCTGCTAGAAGAGTATACACATGTTCATAGTGGTACATATAGGGTGTAATAAAGCCATGGCCATGATGGCTGCAACCATCTGTCGATGACACCACAGAGAAGGTGCTGCAACCTGTAATCTTGCATGCCTTACATGTTGACTGATATCTTGCTGTGTGAGGGAAGTTGGATATGGTTCTATCCACTCTGGTAAATTTAGAACTAAACTGAACTGAACTGAACTGGGAAATAGACCGACTACAGGAATACCACACCGAATTAATGCTTAATTTGCTACAACACAATATACAAGTTCCTGTAGCAACGTGATCTATACATGTATTACAAGCATGATTGTTCTCAAACACAAAATTATTAGAGCTGGGATACATACCTTGTTCAGTGGATTCTCCTTCAATGACAGTTTTTCCAGTAATGGTGCTTGCTTTCGTAGCACAGCCAACTGCACTCGAAACTCATTGAGCATGTTGCGATCAACGTTTAAACTCTTTAACCCACATAGGTTCTGCAATAGTAAACAAATCATGTAAGTACAAGCAATATAGCTTTTGTAAAACCTATAATCATCAAGAATAGAAATATGTCTGTTAAAAACCAGATGATTGACATTCTATCGATTTTAGCATATTTGAGCAAAAAACATTTCATTATTGGTAATTAGGTACTCGCATTTTAAGATTTTACAAGAATTTTGGTACAAGTAAATGCAAGAATGCGGTACATTCTGACATTCTTAATTAAATTTTACCTTCATGTGCTCCAGTGTAGTAATTTTGTTAAAGCTAGCATCAACAGTTTCAAGTGAAGTCTAGACAACCAACACAAAATATGAGCATTTAGTAAATTATCTTCACACGTAAATAGTGGTATACATGGCTAGTTTCAACAATGAAGTAATTATAATATACTGTACGTGTGACTGTATTAATACTTTGAAATAATTCATGCCTGCTAAAACTCATAATATAATCAAAGAATCACTCTCTTAACTATTTAACCTATTTAATCTCTCTTATAAAAATAACTATAATAACTATTGCAATGTCGCTGCTTTTCGCAAAGAATTATTCAAGAATCGCAAAATAGAACAGTTCCTACAATATTCGACAAGTCTTGTAAAGAAGTCAATTCGTTGCAGGTGACGATCAAGTTTGTCAGGTTCTTTAGACTGCCAAGTCCGCTCATCTGCGTGAGGCCGAGGGCGTGCAGATTGAGGTCCGTAATGGATTGGAGGTCAGCGACTGCGCAATCTTTCAGAAGAAACTCCGGGGTGATGTCGCTCATTCTAGCGAGGAGAAAAAAACAGCATAGACGTAATGTACACCTAGTATCTGCAATCGTGAGCAGTAAGCTAATACACTTTATTGGTCCTTCCAATCATATATGTAGGTTAACAGGAGCTAGCTTTAGCCTAGCTTAGTATATTTAGCTTAGGGATGGTATACCACGCTACAAAATGGCTCGTACACATTAGATCAGATTACGCAAATGCAACTTTTCACACAGCATTTTGTTTCAATGCACTATTTTCCACATCCAATTTCATACGTTACGGATGCTATACTGTTCCACTAACCACTCGCGTGTGCACGCAGAAACATATGTCACGCATTCACACTGGAGAAATAACGTGCACATTGTCAGAGAAGTCTATAGAATTTTAACGCGCTAATAAATATGCGTGGTTGCGTGAGATAGGTGACGAGTAATACACACGGATCTCTCAGTGTGACGACGGGCTTCATTGCAATGATGTTATCATCGACGTCACTAGTCAGGTTCTCCAGCTCTAAGTAAATCGCAGAAAACTGTTTCTCTTGTTGTTCCTAATAAAGAGGGACATCGAATCAAATACACATAGACCCACAATTCGATTGGTTTGAGACGTGGATCAGTACATGTTGGCACATGCAACTACAGTCAAACCTCGGTTATCCGAACATCAATTATCCGAATTTCGGATTATCCAAACAAGATCTCAAGGTCCCGTGAATATTTAATAAGCCACTAGACCACCCGTGACCTATTCGGTCACCCACTATTCAAAGGTTATGAAGAATTCAAGCTAATTTCAATATTGCACCGAAATAAAGGTTTATTTTGAGATAATTTAATTAAATATTTCAATCCATTTAGTAATTCTGTTCAGTATGGCTTCCATTATTTACGATCAGATCATTTCTCCGAACAATCAATTATCCAAACAAAATACTCCCCGCCCATCTCGGTTGGATAATCGAGGTCCAGCTGTATATGCATGGTGCGCATAAACCTCAAACACATTGTACTATGTGCATCAGATGATGTGCATGACACTCACACTTCACATTATATATAGATGAAGCATCAGCATAAACAGACTATTGCAGACTATGTATAAACATTTAAACCACACGTATATATACATTCACACATTTATATTTCTGTGATTTGATTACTACACAATTTACAATATTTAGGATATTACATGATTTTTACAATATTCAGTGCAGCTTACGATCTTATTGTTGGTGTATTCAACTTGCACGAGATATTCTGGTAGAACCTGCTCTGGGTTAAAAATGAACCACTCCACACCCTTGTTCTCACAACTGCATTCGTCAACTGAAGCCAAGAAATTAGCCACAATATATATATATATATATATATTATATATATATACATATATATATTATATATATATATATATACATATATAGAATATTATTGCAGACTTTATTACCTAGTTAAATCTGGCAAGAGTAATGGATAATGTAACCAAAACCAACAGTAACTTGAAATATATCAATCGTAGAAATTATAGTCATCAGGGGTACACCGACGTAATCCATAATAAACAATTAACGAGCAATGTTGAAGACGTTTAGGTATTTAAATTTTTAAGAAAATAATGCTACAAGCTATAGTCTACGTCAACAATATCCATTACCTCCTAATCTGTCTACCTGGTTAACCCTGTAAACACACTCTGTGACAGGGTACTCTTCAAGTTTTATGGCTCTGCAACAAGAAAAATGTACACATTACATTTATACATGTATAAATAGAAAGAATTAATTGTGAGTTAACACACAGGTAATAACCTCACAAGCAAGATGACCAAGTCGATATATCACTAATCTTAATTGCTTAGAGAAGAAATGCTTTAATTCATATGATTAACGTTATGCATTAAACAGCTTGAAGAACAACAGAAGATTTAAATAAACCATGGGTAATGTTTGCAGCCGATGATCACCATGCAGTGTATATATATAATATATATATATATAATATATATATATATAATATATATTCAAAACTATTATATCTACGAATGGTGGTGTACAAATGACACCATTACAAACGAACGACTCTAGCAAATTACACACATAGAACCTTTGCGAAATATAATTAAAAGAAGATGAGCTTGGCTCGGTCATGTCGCCCGGATGGAAGAAAGTGCCATGCATAGCGAAAATGGCATTTAGATGTACGCCAGATGGGAGGAGAAAGGGGAGACCCAAGGAGACCTGGAGAAGGACCATCGAGAAGGAGATGCGGATGTGTGACCTGTCACGGGACACGCTGAGGCCAGTAGCAGCGGACCGACGACGTTGGAGATTTCTTGTCACTGCGTTATGTGCCATCTAGGCACCTATGAGGGATAAGATATCTACAAATATCTTATACCTTTTAGGAAAATGTTGAGTGATTCTCTCTCCTAGCAGCACCTCACAGACAAGAACAGTCACTGAAACAAACACAAAGAACAATGTGTTTAATGGTTAGCGAAATAAAGAGAATAAAAGTTACATTACAAGTAATTGTGTGAATATAGACACAATGGTAGTGTGAATAGGGGAATTCTTATATGGGAACACTACACAAACATGTATGTTATACACATATTTAGCAAAAAACATGATAACTGTATACCCCATGATGATGAATAAATTATAGGATTTTAAAATGCTTTTTATTGTGATGTCATGTCAACACAGTCTTGGACATAAGTCTGAAAACGTAGCCATTCCCGATTTTGAAACTTCTGATTTCCAATATATAATCTATAGTAAAAATTATTCAGTCCTGATCAAGTTACTATATTCCCATATTTGGGGATGGTCTGCTGCTTCCAACATAGGATAAAAGCTTGCGTTTCACTCCTGAGCGTCCTAATCTAAACAAGCCTTTTAATGACTACATCATTGCTCTGGATGCTCCCAAGAAAAGATTCATATGTGATCATACCATTACTAATATAGCCTGATGCCTCGTTATCGCATCCAACTTGTTCAAGAGCGTGATCTAATCGCTTTCTATCACATAGGTAGAGAGTGCTTGCCAAGGGAACACCAGCATCACCTCTTACCTTCTAAAACAAAATAATTTGCCTGTTAACAACAGCAAATTAATTAAGGCATTTAATTAAGTAAAATGTAAATTTGTTCATTGATCATTCTGTTATTTTATTTTTCATTAAAAACTTTTCTTAATACATTTCATTAAATATAAATAAATTGCAATTTAACAATTGCTGTTCCATAACACAAATCTATACTCAATATTATCTGTACTCAGACGTGTGCTCATGCTCACATCAACTAACCTGTGGTCTACCTAAAAAATTTCAATACCATATATCAGCTGAACATGTCTAAGCTGGCATCCTGAGACCCCGACACATTCTTATAGATTCAAATTTTATATCAGTTTACAATACAGATTTTAGATTTTAGACAATATCTAGATATAGACTGACTTGCAATTAGCAGGACCACTAAAGTTTTGTCCAATTGCTTAATGGCCACAGTCCCGTTGTCAGAAACAAAATTAGTCTTAAAACTTGTACACACTGATATAATTCAAAGCAAATTTAACCAATTTAAAAAAAAAATCAGAAATAGTTCCATCACGAGTGATAGAAGGAATAGAGCTGGGTTACTTGAATGCCTCATTAGAAATATTCAACTGTAGTTTAACAAACAACTGCATCTATCAACAGAGATATGTGTATGTGAGTAAGGCATGCATACACGTACGTGCCGGTGTGCTGTGATGTATGTGCATGCACACATGCACATGTATGCATCCTTCCTTAATGTAACATATGCGTAGGTTTATTTCAGATTTTCATCTCTTTATCATTATTTCAAGTTCAAATGGTTCATTCCCATCCGAAATTCAACATCGGATGAAAGCCTTTTGATACTGCTTTGACAGGATAATTGAATGACTATTGATAAATATCTGACACACACTGCTATAGTCACTATAGATAGCAAATAGTTAGGTAATGAAAGTATGACTACTTTTAGACATAAACAATTGAATATACTCAGTGCAACAGGAAAATTGTGGTAGTTTCACTCCACAACATCATATTGATGAGAAATAAATAATTAAACAAAAATATATATATGATGCTGGAGAGTGCTTTGCTTGTTAATGCATGATGTGGACACCTGGTAGTAATCCGGATAATGGAATCCATCAACTACTGCTTCCATGATCTGCTCATTCGTTATCGTTGGGTCAAACACATAAAAGAGGTAGTCCAGTGTATTTTCCTCTATATTGCAACTGAAACCCAATGGACATAATATAGAAAACACATCTCAAGCAACAATGAAGTTGTTGTTGTCGGTCTTCATCTATTCACGAATAAGTTCATAAGTGTTTGATGGGTATACTACTAACACGTAGTAATGGAATCTCTACATGTGCCTGTGAAATGTTTGCGTTCAATAACGGCAGTGTGTAAAATACATTAAAAATTTACAACTTTTCATGAAATGACATTGCTGTCATTTTAATTCACCCATTAGCTTTCGGGTCACAGCATGGCTTAACGCTGTCACGTCTTTCCTCCACTCACCACTTTATTCCCATCCAAAAATTATCAATACCATGTCATCCCTTAATAGTAATCCTAGCTATGCTCACACTATAGGTCGCATAATATATGTATCCATATTCACCATAAGTCGAATATATTTATATATATACACACACATCTATATTTACCTGACTTCGATGTCATCATCTTGCACTTCTCTATGTAGGTGGTTTTCAAAATTTGAGATTAGCAGAGGGTTTTGCACACGTGTCACATTTTTCACCCGTAATTTGTTGAATCCATATGGTTTGAAGTCATCCGGGTTAAAGCGAGAACTGACAAAGTGCTCACAAACCGTGTACCTGCACACAAATGACTAGATGAATCTATAATATATATATGGTAGACAGATAGATATAGATGTAGATGTGAGGATATCAGAAGTACATGAACGAGAGATATACATTCATGTACACAGGATAGGCAGTGACATTGTACATTCTATATGCAAGAAAGCACTTTAAGTTAATGGTTCTTTGATCAGACTATATATCTATGACGTACTAAAGACGCATGTTACCGTGTAGGTAATAACACTAGAATTAATTGTTATCCGAATTCATACCAGGGATTGTTTGAAGTTCCATCTTCAAACGTGATGTTGCCTCCCGACTGCATCTCGCAAGAAAGTTTTGCTATAGCAATATCACACTTTCTTCTAATCTCAGCATCTTTAGTTGTCAAATGTTCAACCACCCTGTGGCACATATAACATTTGTAAGCTATAAAATTGAATGACCTGCCTACTAACATATTCTAGATAATTTGCTTGTGTGACCTGATATAGGATATAAATGATAATTTTTTATTTATTAACTTAATTATGTATTAGTAAATTGACATTAGCATTCATTGTTATACATAGGTACACAAAATTCTAACAAATAAAAATTATATACTATAATTAATGCAATTAATTAATGCTATATTAACTATATTAGATGCATTTTGAATTTAGCATATTAATTAGTCTATATATTAAATGAAGACAGACAATGAAAAAGAATATAAAATACAGGATAACTATATTTACATATTCACCCTGTACTTTGCGAAACAAGCAATATTTTGTGTCCTTTAGTCAAGTGAGTAATAAACACTTCTGAACTGGGATGGATAACTAAATGAAAGTGTCAATGACACTGTAGCTTACCTTGGGTGTGATAGAAGAGGGAGGGGGGGATATATAAAGCAAGAGTATACGTATATGAGAGAACTCCTATTATATAGCATATATCTCCCATTATATACTCTTGATAATGATATATGCATAAGTTTTGATGCGAAAATAAATGTTTCAGATCTGAAAGTCTGAAATCTTGACGAGAGATGGCGCTACGCCTAAATGATCGCCATTTTGGTTTTCGAATATCGCGCAAATAAAAACAATAAAATATTCCAGTCAAATTACTGTAACGAAGAATATAAAACACAATATTACACGTAATAGCTATAGGTATATGATTGTAGAGTTGTTAACCAGTTAGACGAAATAAACGTAATAGCATTGTCATCTCTCCCATAGGAGTAACAACTGTTTTGGGGCTAGCCTTACACATTCATATACCAAAATTTAACAAAATCGAATGAATCTAGATGGCCATTTTCATTTTTGCCAAAAAGTGGGCATGGCTCGAAAGTAGATTGACTGGCGTGCTCCAAAATAGGACGTTCAAATCTCTCCCATAGGAGCAACATCTGTATGCAATTTGAAACATGTGGGTCAAACGGTTTTTGAGTTATTGTTGACCGTAAGCAGACACTGAAATGCATAGTGAAATTGCCAAAATCTACCTAATTTGCATAATTTAAAAAAATATCAAAACCTGTGTGATATGTTTTGGGGCCAGTCCTCATTCATTCACATACCAGAAATGAGCAAAATCCGTTGAACCTGAACTGACCTAGCTATGGCCATTTCCATTTTTGCCAAAAAGTGAACGTGGCTCAAAAGTAGGTCGACTGGCGTGCTCCAAAATAGGACGTTCAAACTTCTCCCATAGGAGTACCAACTATATGCAATTTGAAACATGTGGGTCAAACGGTTCTTGAGTTATCGTTGACCGTAGCCAAATGTTGACGAACGAACGGACGGCGGACGACACCCCATGGCAATAGCTCATCTTGAAGATGTCAAGGCGAGCTAAAAATAGGATGTATGAACATAAACTATAGATCATACAGTTGCTGTAACTTACGCTGCTACTTTCCCCTCCCAACGTTGCATGCGATCCTTCAAGGTGACTTGTTTAGCTTTGTGAGCTTTTACTTCGCTACTCTCCTCTCCTGCATTCTGTTTTCCTTCCTTACTCAGTTGCCTGTCAGCCTGTAATAACACATGGCCAAGTGGTTACACATTCAGAAATGTTCTACATTTGAAAATTTTCCCTGATTCCTAGCCAACCTTCTAGAGAATATCATATAGTGATATAAAGTCAATCGGCACACTGCCTATAGAGACATTAAGAGTGATGTATGTGACACTAGCTTACCTCCTGTACTATTAATGCCAGCGCTGCTATGCACGCTCTTGGAATTGTAAGCAGCTGCTTAACTTTCTCCTCCAATGAATGGCTTTCCACAACTGCTTTCTTTTCCAGAGTCTTTTTGCACATGGTATAGTACATCCTCTTTTTTGTAATTATATTCTGTGAGCACATGTATAAAATATCTTGGATTGAGATCACATCAACGCATAAATGATTTTGTTCTACTATGATCAAAAGAGATTAGCTTGGGTACGTCGCAATGTAAACAGTTGTTCACTCGCTACACCATCAATACACTTGCACACAATAACCAATGTAACGTATATCCATCTCCGCTGCCTCTTTTGAAACTTCTTGTATCTATACTCACCACTATGCTGGCTCTGAGACTTTTGCCCGTAACATCCTGGTTATCTAGCTTCACGAGATTGGGCAAGGTGTACAAGACGAGTGCCATATAATTGCAGAGTAGACATATTGGGTTCGGTGTATATGAGATATCCCATAAGTCAAGGTTGCGTAGAGCCGGCAGCTTTGACAAGTTGAACAACTCCTGCAGATAACAGGAGTTATTTCACACTAAATAGAATCCCGACGATCGACATGTAACTGAACAAGAAATCATATTGAAGAAATTTGTTGAGGGATTGAGGACAATAATCACGTACATGACGTCACGGTCAACAAACCAACAATATAAAAATCAATAGAAATTTGGCTGCACAATTTATCATAAAAATCACACATTATACTGAGCAGCGAATAATTGAAATAAATAACAATCAATTTGATATTACAGTCCGACCTCCTTTATCCGGCCAGGTCGGGACCGGCACCCATCCATATATGGGATTTGGCCGGATATGAGTTATGCTCAAACACAGCATTTCTATGCAGTTCAGTAGGGTTTCTGGATGTGATAATGTATTTACTCGTTGCTATGATTATTTGTAACAAACTGTCGTGTTTTATGGTTTATATGAAATGGAAATAAAATGAAATAAAACAGAGGCATATTTTACCAGAGGCATAGCGGACACGAGCGGACAACACACACACACACACACACGTGCGCGCGCACACACGTACGGTTGGTACATTGCGCGAGTTTTGAGCGAGGTTTTTAGGTGGAAATTAATGAAAAACAGAGAACATACATTGCGAGATCGCGGCCGGTTAATAGAGATTTCCGGATAATGGATGGCCGGATAAAGGAGGTCGGACTGTACTTGTTAATTAATAGACTACAAGCATTATCTGGATACAAACACACCACACGTACCTTAAATGATGTGATTCGGTTACCCGAAATATTCAACCCTTTCAATTTTGTTAAAGCATTAAGCGACTGATCTGAAAATGAATACAAAGTTTGCCATACATTCCAAAAACCACACACTGGCAAAAAACGGATTTCACAACCTTCATATCTCACACACATAGAGAAGAGATATGTTTGTGTGAAGTTGCATCCATATGCTATATCATGTATATGGGAAACTGCATGAATACACTCTTTCTCTATATCCCACATCTCTACTCCTATTACGATGAACATTTGTCATTATTAACCCCTGATATACATATCTATACTAATATAGATATATTCATGCTGACTGGCTACACACGTTAGCTATCTACATATAATCTAAGATTATTTCACCTTTACCAAAGTTTGTTTTCATTAAAGTATAATTATAGGTATAGCATTAAATATCTCATAAGAAGCGATTTTCGATAACCAATACCCAGTGTCATTATGTTATTGTCAGCCAGATTCAGTTCTCTCAGATCTTTTAGGTCATGTAGGCCCTACAACACATGACATTATATAAACTATAACTTATATGAGACGTGTAAGAACTTACATTATCGGCTTGTAAATTAACTTCTCAAATGTCAACTAGAAAAAATTGAACTTAAAAAGTTCAACAATTGTTGACCTATTCAATAAAAACTGCATATTATTGCAGCATATACTGGAAACATGCACTTATGGAATTTCCACATTCTTATTAATCTCGCAGGAACATTAAATAAACCATATACAAATACACATATCCAATCTAATTATGATATATACCTCGACTGCTTTGATCCTATTGGAACATAGCCATAGCACCTCTAGTTTGGCAAGATGGTTCAGATTTTCTATCTTCCGTATCTTATTGCAGTACAAATAGAGCTTACGTAGATTAGTGTTGTTTGACAGGCCATCTATAACCTATAGACACAAAATTCCATTATACAGTATTATTCAGAATATTTCACAGAATTAGTGCAGTTGGATACACTCACGCATGCGCACACGCACATGCACACGCACACGCACACGTACACGCACACGCACACACACATTGCCATTAGCCTATGTAAAATATATAAAGTAGTAATTACTGCATAGTATATATACGAATTACTATTGTTGGATGATATCACTTTTCTCCTCTTTACTTTTTTTTATATTAATTTACGCGGCTTAATTGCTTACAGTGAAGTGTTAAGTTTCTAGGATTAATTGTTCATATACCTACACTACTATTTTCCATGTTACTTAATTATTGTGTTATCACTTAATCCAGGATGCAGCTCTAATTACTATAGTGTTCATTGAATTACATAATTCAATGATAACTACAGTATCTAGATCTATATGGTAATCCGTTTGTTTAAGTGATAATTAATACTAATTACCATTAGTATAAAATCAAACTAAATAATAAGGAGGATCTAAAATATTCCTACAATTATAAAGCTATCTAGGATTCTGATATCATACACTATTTTTATATAAAAAATAAACAAACATATGTATGAAATGAGATCAAATTAAAAACTTTCCACCAAAACTTTCAAACCCAAAACACAACAATGTCTGCCAATATTTTACAGACTTGCCTCTAAATCTGCTTCACATATCCAGAGCTCCTGCAGCAATCTGAGAGTTTCCACACCCCTTATACGAGGCATCGATTGCCCAACAAGATACAGTGTAGTCAGGTTGGGAAAACACTCAAGGTACTGCATTTGCGATAATGTGAAGCAAGTGAAGAAAGCCTCAAGAAACTTAGCGTGGAAGACTTCCTCTTCTTTTAGAATCTTGTACGGAATCCCATTACTTATGCACTGCAAACGACAAGAAAATACACTCTAGATGCCCATGTAAACATAATGAACCTTAATTTATTTAATGCCTATATACATCGTTGTTTGCAGCCACATTTTGACTGCCCATCTCCTACTGATGCTGAGAGGGTCTATGTCCCCCAAGGTACTGCCGAAACGTACCCTGGGTACGGTCCGGTATACCGGAACGTAACCAGGTACTATCAGTATCTAATATGCCGGACCGTACCTTGCCTACTCCACTAACGAGTCTATAGGGAGTCGCCTACACCTACTCCCTAACCCTATAACCCTAACCCTAACCCTAACCATATCAGATAGTACCAGGGTACGTTCCGGTATACCGGACCGTACCCAGGGTTTGTTCCGGCAGTACCCTGGGGGACATAGACCCTATGAGCCCTACTGATCAACTGTTACCAGGATCAACAGTGCTGCTGTCATGTTAAGTAAAGTCAGTGCAGTCTATATATACTCACAAGTTCATACAGAATATTTTCTTTGGAAGTTCTGGCAACAGGCTGTTGAGGAGCATCTGGCTGCTTTGCATTTGGATCCATCTGAAAGCAATTAATAAACTACAACCTACTAAAACAGGACTGACTCTACTAGTATAAGTCGTTTTTGGCATAAACCTTGTGGGAGTACCTGCAGCAAACTTACATACCGGTATTATACTTTTGTTTGTCAATGTTGTCTGCACGGACAGGGTATCTTTCAGTTTGTGCCACTACCATGGCATTGTTTTTCCCTTAAGCCTGGGACACACCATGCGAATTTTCGCGGCGAAAATATTCGCACCCACCGCGATAATTGAGCGAACACACCATGCGAATTTATTTGCACGATTGCAGCAGACACACTACACGCGATCTACTGTCGCCACACGGCTCCAACCATGGCTCCAACAATGGCTCCAACGAATCTGTACGCAGCAGTAAAAATCTGCAGCGAAAATATAAAATGTGTTTAATCGCTGCAAATTTCGGTACGGATAAAATTCACGGCGAAATTCCCCCGTGCTAGAGCGGACACACCATGCGAATTCTGCGGCGGTTTTAAAATCAGCTGCGGTCAGGCGAATAAATTTGCATGGTGTGTCCCCGCTTTAAAAGAAAGGATTACAAAACTATAGACTACAATTATGTCTAATGCACTTTCATGTGTTTTTTTGTGCATATTTGACAGTCGTTATACTGTCCTGGCCAATTAATTGTAATAGTAAAAACAATGGATGGCTGGATTATTACCTCAAGTTTCACTAGTAAATTATAATTTTCTAAGCCTGAATACTTCCTGTCAAAAACAATCTACGTAATATTTCCAATCTAAATTATAGCTGTATCCACGTATACCATTTCATTATTTAATATTGTAATTAAAGTACGTGGCTGCATGGGTCTCTTTTTGCATTTCGTCATGCTTGATGTCACAAAGTACACTATCCAGATGAGACGGGATACGGTACCAGAGAATTGTTGCCGAAAGGAGGTGTTGATCCTAACCGCTGAGCGCGGATCTTGCACGCAGTTCCGCGGCAAAGCGCACGCAACTCTGGAAACGTCCTATGACAGTATGCAGCGCTGGCAGCTATGCATCCGTGCGCCGAATGCATAGGTCGGCGCAGGAATCCATAGCTGCCAGCAAACAGTCCAAAATTTTAGCGGGGGACACAGAGGGCAGAGATTTGGGACGTGGGAAGAACTCGCGACTTAGATGGGGGGTCGTACAGATGGGGGGGGGGAGGGGGCGAGAGCAAAGCTTTTGATTTCGCGGTGGTTCCATTTCCATGTGGTCTTAGGCGTTTTCACTATAAGTTGTACAGCGCCCCATGACGCCTGTCCTATGTAACACTTGATATGTGAACATCAGAGAGATCGCACCCCGATTGCATGAAGAAATGGATGAGGATGTTGTACGAGAGAGTATGCGCATTATGTGGCTATTTGTAACACCGAACCGATTCGTCTGCGTATTGCTCTGCTCTGTGCTGCTACAGAACGTCATGACAACAGTACCTACGTCGTGTTGAAGGGAACTGTCGACAGCCGTCATGTTGAAGATGTCGGCGACGTTGTTTTGCCTGAAGTTCTTCATGTAACGTGATGTTGTGCACACAATCGGCAACTTCCTCAATATGATAGATTTGGATGCCATTTGTCACGCGAAGTTAGACTTATATTGCTGAACGGCGCATATATGACCGCCGGAGAATGTATAACTCTTGTGTATAAAAGTTGCAAAGATATTAAAAATCCGACCGTTATTTCATGAACATTTTTATAAAATAGTGATACGAAATAGTATGCGGATTGTGCTCCCATTTACCTCTTTCAAATCATATGCTGTTTACGAATCTCCATTCGCTGGATTTCCCCCGAGCTCCGCCCACTTTAAAAATAGTGCTAGCATTGTGGCAGTGGTATCTTGAGTGTGTGAAAGGGCACTGCATGCAGTTTGATTGTGGCAGTGGTATCCTGGACCCGGTTCCACAGTCGTGGATTAACTGCTGCCGTGGCGGCCACTACGGCCCTGCTAGCTGTCAATGTTGCTGCTGCTGTTGCTAGTATTGGTATTACTACAATTTGCAAATGCTACTGTAACTACAGAGCTGCCAACATTGACCTTTGAGTAATAACAATGTGAATCTTTGGAAGTAGGAATTTTGTCACCAAGTAGGAATCTTGGGTAATGAGTCTACGTTATTGGGTAACGAGTCTACAATGCTACATTATTTAATAGAAGTTCTACATCAGTCTCCACCCTTGCACTAATGCATGAGAGCGTGTGTTACGTCCAAAATCGTAGTAAAATGCGAGTGAATCGTAATGGAGGAATTATAGCTATAGGCCAAAATCGCACAGGCACTTGGACGTTTCAATAATACAAGTGCCGCATAGCGACAGCGCTCATCTAACGTCTACTGCGGTGACTCTGTGGTGGAGTGGAGGGATTCTAGTAACCTGTTAGTCCAAAATGTGTTCACATACACGCCGAAACAGTGAATGCACAGGATGGGTATCAGGAACCTTCTCAAAGAATGTTCGTTGGGATCGTTAATGAAAGTTGCCACGAGATGGCGCGTACGTTTAAGTGTCTTCAGTTAAAGATGGAAGCTCCCATCATTCGTAGTAGCAACAACTATTTGCAAGACAGAATAGGTAAGCACTCACTCATTGACCTACGCAAGCTACAGGCTGCAAATTGCAATAGAGAGTGGCCACCTGCAACCAATTAACGGCAGGCAAAAAACGCCCCAACACATGCAGCAGCCAGGCAGCAGCCACTGGCAGTGGCATACGTTACATGTAACATACTGACAGTAGCCAGAATGACATAGAAATTATACGATTTAAGAACATACACCTTCTTTAACAAAATTTAGCTTTTGGAAATTTCACTGTGACATTGTACGCCTCATACATCCAGGCATGTATAATTTCTACTAGCAAACCCGGCAGTCAAATTCTTTCTAACAGACAGTCAAACAATCCAAGTTTAACCCTCCTCTTGAGGGTCAAAAGGTTATCCGACACTTACTCTTCGCATGTCAGGCAGAAGGGACATTCATCGTCCTTTCAATAAAGCCATAAAAATGCTAGGTGCACCGCTGAAGCAAAAAAGTTTTTCAATGCGCTCCGTCAGACCACGTCCTCAGAAAATCTCTCAAATCTTGCCCCTGATGCCACTGACCTTTGACTGCTGACTCAATTTCGGTGCACAGTGATGGCCCTTTTCCTTAACGCATGATGCTATAACCCGACTTAGTCACGAGCCTATGTCAAGGCGCTTTAGATTTGCTGCGCAATTCTGCATTCGCTCCGCTATACCTTAAGTTAAGGAGTGAATGTTCCCCCTTCTTTTACACCTCTTGACCTTTGACCTTTGACCCCCAGCTTCGACAGCCCAACTCGTTTTGACGATCCCCCCCAATGTGCCGAATATTGTGACCGTACGTCGAGCGGTTAAGATTTGTGCCCAACTGTTGACGGACGACCGGACGACCGGACGCATGGACGGACGATCATGCGATTCTACAAGCTGCATCTGACTATGTCAGATGAGCTAAAAATGATGATAAATAAACACGAAATGTACGTATTTCCTATCAGTACGTGTTTCTCTACTCTCTTTCACCTATTATTACTGATAACTTCCTGCGCATGCTGTTCAAATGCTCCTCTGCAACCCATAGGTTAGCTCTAGTACTAGTATAGCCCACGTACAGTTGCCTGCGGCAACTGTACGCAGGCTATATAGTGCTAGAGCTGAGAGGGTCTATGTACCCAGGGTACTGCCGGAATGTACCCTGGGTACGGTCCAGTATACCGGAACGTACCATGGTACCAGAGCATATAAATCAACGTGATTTAAATATGCTCTGCTGGTACTATCTAATATGCCGGACCGTACCTCGCCTACTCCACTAACGAGTCTAGGGAGTCGCCTATGCCTACTCCCTAACCCTATTCCCAACCCTGTTAAGCCTGGCGCACATTGCCAAACATTTCATGGAACATTGCTACGATGTTTTTGAGCAAAATGTTCGGCAACGTGCACCGGGCTTTACCCTAACCCTAACGATATCAGATAGTTACCAGGGTACGTTCTTGCAGTACCCTGGGGGACATAGACCCTATGAGCAGTACGCGAGCTACCCACAATTTGTGGGCACGCACTGTGGGCAATTTGTGGACACCCCACGCAATTTGTGGGTATGCCGCACGCACGCCGCTGTGCACAAACAACAAGAATATAGATTCGTCGTAATTATATTCTTGTTGTTGATTGCCATTTACAGGAAATTATCAGTAAATATAGCAAAAGCATAAGCAAACTGAAAGAAAAGTATAGACACTTTGGTAGTAAATACATTTCGGGTTCATTTACCATCATTCTATTAGTTAAATGTTCCATGTGCATGTGCCATGTGGCTGTGCCATGGCTGTGAATGTGATTGGAATTCGCCCAGTGTTGCCAGCTCTGCAACTAGTGTGATGCCCTTATTCTGACATGACAATGATAGGCCCTATGCCTATACAGTAATCCCAGGTAATGCGCATAATACTGGTGCTGAGAGGGTCTATGTCCCCCGGGGTACTGCCGGAACGTACCCTGGGTACGGTCCGGTATA